TCTTAAGAGTTCATGATTGATGCAGAATACGGTCAAGGACAGGTCCATTGAACCTTAATCCTCTTGCAAATGCTATGTCAGATTCAACCATTTCGAATAACTCCTTGGGTTTAGGCTGATGATGTTGTTTTTTAGAAGTGCCTTTATAAGATAGATATAGTAAGCCATGAATGACTGATTGTGACCTCTAAACTGAAGTAGTTGTGGTGGTGTGGCTGTTGTGATGTTTTAGTCAAGTCTGGTATTGTCTTGACTGTCCAAATGTTTCAGTTAAGTGTATATACATGAATTATATGTTGTTTGTTTGATTTGTGATGTGCAGTGAGCAGGAAGATGAAGAAGAAGCGGTCTCTACCACTGAAATTGAGATACTATTAGAATTAATATTATACATGATTTTGCTACTCTTATAAACAAATATGTGGATTTTATAATGTTAGTTTTTTTTTTACGTCTTCATGTTAATAATATTAGTTGTAGTTGCAAATAGCATAAACCCATAAATTATACATGAGTCAAACTCAAATAGATTTTTTTTTTTACTGTTGAAATTTCTAACCATGTAACCATATTTCTTTCCCAAGAAAAGGCGTTCTTATAAAATGTTTGTACTCTTTCTCACTCTTTCTCGCCTTTGTAATCTTAATAGGCAAAATCAGACAAGAATCCTAAACTCTAAAAAAATTGCTTAGGCTTTTAGAAATTTAGAATTTCATGATTCTTTTTAATTCATATATTATGATGTTATTTTAACTCGGTGATAAAATTACTAGAAGATAATAATATAATAAATATACCTTATATAATTTTAAAATACAACAACATAAAACTTTAAAAGAAAAATTAAGGAAATAAGAAAATCTTTTTGGGGTATTTTTTTTTGAATTTCATCAAATTTAAGCAACGAAACATTAATGAATCTGAAGTTCCTTTCTCATAAAATTTAAACTTAGATAAATTGCAAATTTGATAGAAATCCACGATTAAATGTTAAATACATAATTAATATATATTTTAAAAAATAAAATAAAATAACCATTAGATTATATATATATAATTGAATAGCTACATTTAGTGAAATTAATAATAGAAAAATAGAATTAAGAAATATTAACAAAAATTAATTAGCATCTACTCTATTAAAATAGAGTCATTCATTTTATCTACTGATATAAGTTGTCATTTAAATTTGGATTCTTTCTAGAGTGTTACAAATAATACAAGTCATATGAGTTAAATGAACCGCATTACTTAAATTAAACCGGCGGTTATTTATGGAATATAGTTTTGGGCTTACTTTTGTATTTATGACAAATTATATAGTTTGAGTTTTGGGCTTAGTATTAAAGAAAAACTCCAAAAAAACATTGAATAAACGTTCTACCTTAATGGATCAAAAAATCAATTATTATTTTAAGGCCCAAAAGTATTTAATATTTTAACAAAACAAAATTATATATTATTAATCACTTATTAAAATCATGTAATTTATAACATGTTAATATTTTTTAGCCCAAAAATATTTAATATTTTCAACAAAACATAATCATCTATTATTAATAACTTATTTAAATCATGTACTTTAAAACATGTTAATATTTTTTATTTTAAATAACAATCACTCTATCTTGATCAATTTTAATGGTAACTTTTAAATAATTTCTTGTTTTATTTTTCTTAAATAATTTACAGATTTAAAAAAAAAAAACCAAAACCAAAAACCAAATCTAAAAAATAAAATCCAAAACTAAAAGCTGAAAACGCAGGTTATATTTTTGCTTTTTTATTTACAAAATAAACTATTTCAAGATTTTAGAAAATTATTTTATCATCTTTTCAGTTTTAAATTACATGTTCGATTAATTGAGATTTGTTTGTTGGTAATATCAGTTCAAACTAACTCAGCGGGTCTAAAAATTAAAAACCCAAACCAAAAGCTCAAAATCAAAAATAGAAACTTAAAAACTAAAAACCAAAAACCAAAATTAAAAACAAAAGCTAAAAATAAAAACTGAAACTAAAAACTAATGAAAAACAACTATCACCACAAAATTTGGTAAACTAATTTATACCAAAACATTCTTTAAATTAAGAAAAAACCCAATTATATAAATTTTTAATCATAAAAAATTTCCGCGCTTTTCAAGCGCGGATCAAAATCTAGTCTACTCTATTAAAATAAAGTCATTCTTTTTATCTACTGATACAAGTTGTCATTTAAATTTTGACCCTTTCTAGAATGTTACAAATAATATAAGTCTTATAATTGATTGAACAGTATTACTTAAATTAAACCAACACAATTAATGTAAAGAGACGACCTTAATATAAACTACCTTCAAAATACGGCAGGTATCTATGTGTATACCAAAAACATATATTTTCTCCTACAAATATGGAATGTTCTACAAGAATATATATCATCAAAATATTGAATATGGAAATCTACTAATTATACTTAAATTAAACCAGTGGTTATTTTTGGAATATAGTATTGGGCTTACTTTTGTTGTTTGAACAAATTATATAGTTTGGTTTTTGGGCTTCGTATTAAGAAAAAAACTCCAAAAACATTGAATAAACTTTTCGCCTTAAAAGATCAAAAAATTAATTATTATGTTCAGACCCAAAAGATATTTAATATTTTTGACAAAACAAAATTATCTATTATTAATCATTTCTTTAAATCATGTACTTTAAAACATGTTAATGTATTTTTTTATTTTAAATAACAATCACTTTGTTTTGATAAATTTCAATGGTAACTTTTAAATAATTTATTGTTATATTTTTCTTAGATAATTTACTAATTAAAAAATGTAAAGCAAAACCAAATCTAAAAAATAAAATCCAAAACCAAAAGCTGAAAATACATGTTATATTTTTTTGCTTTGTTTATTTACAAAATAAACTATTTCAAATATTTTTTAAAAAAAATTTATCATCTTTTCAGTTTTAAATTAGATAATTGATTATTTGAGATTTGTTTGTTGGTAATATTAGTTCAAACTAACTCAGCGGGTTTAAAAATTAAAAACCCAAACCAAAAACTGAAAATGAAAAGTAGAAACTTAAAAACTAAAAACCAAAAACCAAAAACCAAAATCTAAAAATAAAACTGAAACTAAAACTAATGAAAAACAATCATCACCACAAATTTTTGTGAACTGATTTTATATCAAAATATTCTTTAAATTAAGACAAAACCCAATTATATAAATTTTTAATCATAAAAATTTTCCGCGCTTTTCAAGCGCGGGTCAAAATCTAGTAAAATTTAAAGCATAGATTAATATATTATCTCTTCACTTTTATCAAAATAAAGCCAACCAAAATTAAAAGGGTTTTTTTCCCTTTTTAATCATGACACTGAAGTTAAAGAAACTAATCGGATACTAAAAAATACAACAGTTAATTTACACATAATAAAAAAAATAGTAAATAGAATATAATAAAATAGAGAAAATTAAATAAAATATAACAAATAAAAAAATTAAATAGAAACAAAAAATGAAAAATATATATTTATGATATAATCACGAGTAAATTCTAAAAAAACTACAACATAAGTTCCAAAACAAATTCAGACATATCTCAGACATGGAAAAACACATTAGTTGCCAGGTATGAAAGAGTCACAATAAAAACAATCTGAAAAAAATATAAAAGTAAAATTAAAAATAAATGATCTAGAATAAAATAAATATATCAAAATATCTATACTACAAAAAGGAACATATCCTCATTAAAACAGTAAATGGTTTATAAAATAAACAAAATAAACAAAATAAAAATAAAACATATAAACATTAAATATAAAACAAAAAGAAAAATATATATTTATGATATAATCATGAGTAAATTCCAAAAAAAAACTACAACATAAATTTCAAAACAAATTCAGACATGTCTTAGATATGAATTTTTTACTGTTCGCGGGCCCCCATCGACACGTGGTGGCCCGCGATTGGTTTGCTTTATTTTTATTTTTAGAAAAAAATAAAAATAAAAACTTTTTTAAGAAACAAATGCGATAATCGTACTCTAAATGTACAGTTGGCAAGAACCACAAAAAAAAATTATACACATTAATTTTCAGCTACTTATATTTTTATAATAATGGTAATGTTTTTTTTTGATGATCCTGGTATTTGGATGTCTTGAGAGGAATCCGACTAGCACCTAATAGTAATATTGTTAAATATCTTTTGAAATCATTACAACATACAAATGCCAACTCTTTAATGTAGAAACAACTATTGTAAATAAGCAAAATATATTTTATCACATATAATTTCTTTTTACTTAAAATTTTATAAAAGGTAATAATCATTATCATATAAAAAACATACAAAAATAGTAACCAAAATTACAAGTAAAATATATCCCACCTGTAGAGCGAACCGATATTAGTTTTTTATAAAATGAATTTTCGCTCGATAACAACGATGCACATATAATACATTGAGAAACAAAAGAAAAAAAAAAGTATATAGGCTCCTATCTTAAATGTGATTAAGCGTTTTGTGAGATGTGGATTTGTCACGTTTTTGTCGTTGTAAAACAATCAATTTTGAGAAACAAAAGAAAAAAAAAAAGTATATAGGCTCCTATCTTAAATGTGATTAAGCGTTTTGTGAGATGTGGATTTGTCACGTTTTTGTCGTTGTAAAACAATCAATTTGAGTTAATAAGCAAATCATATATTTTGCATCTATTGCTTTGTAGAGATAAGATATTATCGGTTTCTAAACTTTGGTAAATAGTACATCTCAAAATTTCGAAAAGAAAGATAAGTATGTCAGATATAATTGTAAACATTGAGAAACTAAAAGGGCCAATTCGGATAACAAAGACACTCCCGCCCCTCTTAGTTTATTACTTTTTGAGTTAAAATACTTTATCTCTGTGGTGTTCGAATCTGTCGCTTACTAAAAAACAGTCAAAATACATAAATAAATATCCGTTTTCCAGATTTCATCTCCTTCCCTTCCCTTCTCCCACCGCCTCATTGCTCTCTCTCTCTCAACCTCCTCCGATTTCACGTCGGTGGATCTTCGTTCGTCAATGATTGGCTTCTCGCCGATTCGATTCTCGCGGCTCCTTAATCGTCTCTGAGGTACAACGAAGACTCCTTATATTTCTGGAATCAATAGAAGCCAATCCTCAGTTCCGCCTTTGTTATTTTGTTTCTGGATTCGAGCTTTAGAGATGATTCTGGAACCAAAACGCTTATTTGAATGTGTATTTTATTTATCCATAGTTAAATTGATTATTGGCTTTCTATTTTTTGATAGTTGATATAGTGAATGATGGATGAAAGCTCAGTGGGTGATGTGAGTAGCAGTATCAATGAAGCCGAAGCTGCGCACATTCATTTCAAAAATGGTCAGCAATCTCTTAAACCCGACGAAATCCAGGAAACAAAACAAGTTCAAGCTGAGGTTCAGAGGGATGATCCCGGTTCTCCCGATAGCTCCTTTGGCGTGATAGCAGAATTTCTAGATGGAAAGAATTTGAATGAGACGGAGAATGAACCGTGTTCTAGCCGCCGACAGAACGCAAATGATGTGAGTGACGTGGTTGAGGAGTTGACTGTTAAAACCTGTGATGGGTCGAGCATTGCTATAGTTGGTAGTTCAAGTAGTAGAGCAGCTAGATTAGAGATCAATCGCTTTCCTCTAGATGGGGGTTTACCTAGTAGCACTTCTATGAGTAAGATGGAAGGTGACAAAGGAACTCCGAGTATCTTGAGGAATGCAGGCAAGTCTTCAACTGGTGTTGATCAGCTTGCCATTGCTGTTAATGCTGAAGCTAATGTTGAACGGAACCCTGTACTGGGAGAGGCATTGGCCCATGGAGGCATCAAGACAAAGATGTTGTCGCAGTCTGGTTTTTCTCAGTTTTTTGTTAAGAAAACGTTGAAGGGAAAGGGAGTCACTTTCAGGGGACCGCCACATAGTAGATCTAAAGCTAGTAATATGGATCAGCAAAATGTAACTAGTTCTGGTAGCCCTTTAGTAATACCGAATAGTACTCCAGCAAAGGTTTCGGGCAACACTCCTTTGGCGGTGGAGGCTTGTGATGTTTTGCCTTACTTGCCTCTTAAAGGCGGTAATCCTTCCTCTTGTACTAACCCTTCAGATGGTGGTTGTGGAGGTGAGGGTTTAAGTCTGAGAGACTGGTTGAAGTCAGAGCGTCACGAAGTTAATAAAGCTGAATGTTTGCGTATCTTTAGGCAGATCGTGGAGCATGTGGATGATTCTCATTCCCAAGGAGTTGTTTTATGTGACCTACGGCCATCTTTGTTTAAAATTCCTAAGGAAAACGAAGTCAAGTATGTTGGTTCAGGTTTTCAGCAAGCGTCTTCTGACAGTAACATGAACAAAACTGTAAGTCAACTCGAGAGACCTCTGGTTAGAAGGCGGTTAGGAGATACAGGATTTGCTTCTAGTCCTGGCGTCCCTGCAAAGAAGCAGAAGTCAAGTGGACCAAGCTCCAGACAGTGGCCTATGTTTCAACGAGCTGGCAACGTCAATATCCAAACTGAAAATGATGTTGGCGCAACACAGGAGCTTGGTCTAAGATCGAGTCAACCTCAGTGTAGTCCATCTGCCCGTTCTTTTACGTCAATGACTGAGCAGTTGGAGGAGAAATGGTATGCAAGTCCTGAGGAGCTCAGGGGTGAGGCCCGTTCAGTCTCTTCAAACATCTATAGTATGGGTATCCTTCTTTTCGAGGTATGGAGAAGTTTTTATTAATTTCACTTGAGGGATGACATTTTTATTGTAGCTTTTTGCTGCAATTGTAAATATTTTTCGTTCATGAATTGAAATTGAAATGTGAAACCCCATTGCCCCTTGCTTTGACATACTAGTATAATTTTTTCATGGGATAATGCTTTCTTAAGTGGGGCCTTAGCATGAGCGGGCTGTGTTAGGTATCTCTCAATCTTATGCTATTTGCCAAAAGTAAAGTTTTCTGTATACCTGTTACGACTTTAGTTTGAATTTGATTCATGTTACATGTTAACGACATTGTTACCTGTATGACAAGTGCAGAATTGTGGATTATAGCATAGGTTTAGATAGTGTTGCATGTTTTTTTCATGTTTCTTTATCAGTGCAGTTTCTAGTCGACAGTATAGTTGACTTCTAGGCTCTTAGGTTAATGTTTTGATTCGACTGTTCCTTGGTCAAACGAATGATTGTAGTTAATATTCTAATTTGGGTTTTTGCGTCAGCTGCTTAGTGAATTTCAAAGTGAAAGAGCTCGTGAGGCTGCAATGTTTGATATCCGTCACCGGATTCTTCCTCCCAAGTTTCTGTCGGAGAATCCAAAGGAAGCTGGGTTCTGTCTCTGGTTACTTCATCCAGAGCCTTCATGCCGACCATCAACCAGGCAATGCAAATTCTTTTGCTGCATTAATTTTCAAGTAATAGAAAAGCATGTTATCGAACTTTTTGTATACTTGATTCTGTAGAAGGTTAAGCCCATATTTCTAACTGGGGTTATTGGAAGATAGTCTTGTTGGTCCATTATACATGAAATGTAAATATGCACCAAACGTGGAGGTGTTCTCCTGTCAGATAGGATTATTAGGTTCTACTCAGAATAATATGGTCTTCGTTGTAAACGAGCTCCCCGTATGTGTTGATAAGCTCATTCCTGTCATCTTGAATTGACTCAGTATCATGAGTTGGATTAATGTCTAAACTTTTGTAAGTTCGATGTTGTTCTGTATCAGGGATATCTTGCAGTCTGAAGTGGTTAATGGAATTCCAAATTTGTATGCTGAAGGCTTGTCTTTAGCTATTGAACAAGAGGACACAGACTCTGAACTGTTACAGCATTTCCTCGTTTTGTCCCAAGAGCAAAGGCAGAAGCATGCAGGAAAGTTGATGGAAGAAATTGGGTCTTTAGAAGCTGATATTGAAGAAATTGTCAAGAGACGCTGTGCCATAAGGCCTCTGTCTGTGGGAGAAGCTTCTAGCTCGTTACCTGCTTCAAATACACCTGAAATGAGACTGGTCACGAACATTAAACAGCTTGAAAGTGCTTATTTCGGAGCAAGGATAGATGCACGTCTCCCTGAAGCACGTTATAGGTTACGCCCGGATAGAGATCTGCTAAGAAACCGTGATGAGAATGTTATATCAGAACAAGAAAATAGTGAGACGTGGAGCTCAGATGATCGTGTTGGAGCGTTCTTTGATGGATTATGCAAATATGCTCGATATAGCAAGTTTGAAACTCGAGGTGTTCTGAGAACCGGGGAGTTGAACAACACTTCAAATGTGATTTGTTCTCTGGGTTTTGATCGGGACGAAGATTATTTTGCCACGGCTGGTGTGTCAAAGAAAATCAAGATATTTGAGTTCAATTCCCTATTCAACGAATCTGTGGACATTCATTATCCAGCCGTTGAAATGTCAAATAGATCAAAGCTTAGCGGCGTTTGCTGGAACAACTATATCAGGAACTACTTAGCTTCCTCCGATTATGATGGGATCATCAAGGTAATTTGAACCTTCAAAGTTTTATTGAGTTATAGTTATCACTTGATTGCCTTGATTTTTCTTTGATATAATGAGTTCAAGTGTATTATGATGGGGTCCAGTTATGGGATGTGACAACAGGACAGGCCATTTCACATTTTATAGAGCACGAGAAGAGGGCTTGGTCTGTTGATTTCTCTGAAGCGTGTCCGACAAAATTAGCCAGTGGAAGCGATGATTGTTCTGTGAAGCTGTGGAACATCAATGAGGCATGCTCTTCTTCACCTTTACATGCATAAGCACATCATACTGCATATTTATAAATGAACAAGCAGCACTTGGGGTTACTCATTAATGTTGTTTCATCCATCTGTTCAGCTTTGTAGCTAATACGCAAACTTCTTTCATGAATGTGCAGAGGAACTGCTTAGGAACAATCAGGAACATTGCAAACGTTTGTTGCGTGCAGTTTTCTCCACAGTCCTCTCATCTGCTAGCCTTTGGATCATCAGATTTCAGAACATACTGCTACGATCTACGGAATTTAAGAACTCCTTGGTGCATACTGTCAGGACACAACAAAGCAGTTAGCTACGCAAAATTCTTGGATAGTGAAACCCTCGTCACGGCGTCAACTGATAACACGTTAAAGCTTTGGGATCTTAAGAAAACTACTCACGGTGGCCTCTCCACAAATGCTTGCAGCTTAACTTTTGGTGGCCATACAAACGAGAAGGTAGCTAATGCTGACACTTTGTTAATCCTTATAATGTTCCTCTATTTTCTTTATGGTTGATTGGTCATCTTCCTGTCTTTTCAGAACTTTGTTGGTTTGTCTACTGCCGATGGATATATAGCTTGTGGCTCTGAGACAAATGAGGTATGACCCTAAACTTGGGAACACATTGTGATTCCTGCAGAACTTTTTGTTCCAAACCATAACCACATGTCGATAGTTTGATACATCAACCTAATCATTAGCTCCAGAGTTTACGTATTCCCTATGCAGATAGAGTTCCATGTTAATGGAGAACTAATATGTTTCTACTGACATTAGTAAAATAATTTCATATTATATCTGTTTAGTGATCTCTCTGACTAAAACAAACGGGTTTTCTTTTGTTTTTGTTATTTCCTTGCTCAGGTATATGCATATCACCGGTCTCTTCCAATGCCCATTACCTCGTACAAGTTCGGTTCGATTGATCCTATATCAGGAAAGGAGATTGAGGAAGACAACAACCTATTTGTTTCAAGCGTTTGCTGGAGAAAAAGATCGAATATGGTTGTTTCAGCTAGCTCAAATGGGTCTATTAAAGTTCTACAGCTGGTTTGAAATCAATACAAACAGAAAAAGCCGGTGTACATCTTATTTACCTTGGTTTAGGGTAAAACAAAGAACCATCAAGCCAAGACTCAGACAAAAAGGTTGAGATGATGAACAAAGCTTTCAACACAGAAGAGAGATGATCAGTAATTCAATCTAATGTACAGTGTTGATTAGTAGCTGCGGTTTGGGTAATACAGGTGATGAGGATACGTAGTAAGGTAAGACCTTTTCTTGGTGGTGTTCTAAGTTTTTTTATTTTTTTATTTGCCTCCTATAGTTATGACACCAGATCTCACTTTTGTTATGTAAATTTGCCTTCTACAGAGAATCAGACCATCATCCACTTTTGTTTTTGATGTGTATATACATAAGCCCTGTTCGGAGAATAGACGCTGCGACTACAGCAAATTAAACGACGCGGAGGATGTTGTTAGCTTAAAAAGCGTTGCCATAGCAGTGAAAAAAATCACCGGAATGAGACGCAACTGGCGCGCGACTGACGCTGAAATTTTAAGCGATCAGTTATCGTTCGGAAACTGCCGCTGCGTCTATTGTTATTAACTCAGCGTGTCATTATATTCCGATCTCTTGTTCGTACAGCATCAGAAATAGAGAGCTAAAAAGAGACTCTGACGCTAGACGCAGCGTTTACCAAAAGAACAGGGCTATAGTTGATATGAGCTTTTATCCTAAAGATGAAGATCTTCAAAGTCTTTCTTTTTTTTTATTCTAAAATACTTATTTTATTATTTTCGTAATTGTCTTTTCTTGCGGTTTTTGCTCAGTTTTATTGCATCTCGTGTTACTGACAAAAGTGCAAAGACTCAGTAAGGGTAAATATTTTATACAAATGTTTGTTTCTGTTTCTGTTTTTAGTGGCTAAAAGTTTCTTAATTATTTAAAAAAGAAAAAGAAAGAAGAAACTACTCCATCTTCTTAGCTATGACTAGGAGTGGGTGTTCGGGTACCCATTCGGGTTCGGTTCGGATCTATTCGGGTTTCGGATTTTCGGGTTCGCAAATTTTAGCCCCATTCAGATATTTCTAAATTTCGGTTCGGGTTCGGTTCGGATTCTTGCGGGTTCCGTTCGAGTTCGGATAACCCATTTAAATTATTTATAAAATTTTAAAATTGATTACATACTTTAGATTTCTAAAAATCTATAAAATAAAATAATATTTTACAAATAATTAAATAACATAAGTCAAAATACCTAAAAGTAACATATAAATTAGTTTGATTTGAATATTTGGATTGTGAATCAATAATTTTTAAAAATATTTTTGATGTTTTGAGTGCACTTTAGCAATTCTAGACATGTATGTTTGACTATATACATATATCTACAAGTATTTTGAACAATTTTAAAGTATTTTATATTTAGTGAATGTTTTTTATACATTAAATCTAAGAATAATTAATAAATATAGGTATATAAATCTCTTTCGGATATATTCGGGTACCCGAAATACTTCGGTTCGGGTCGGGTTCGGTTTCGGTTCTTTAAATACCAAAATTTTAAACCCATTCGGATATTGAATCAATTTCGGTTCGGGTTCGATACTACTTTTTCGGATCGGATTCGGTTCGGTTCTTCGGATCCGGGTTTTTTGCCCAGCCCTAGCTATGACCTTCTTTTTGGTATCGAGAATTTCTTTACTTTCTGCGACATAAAAACAAGGGCTAATTGGTGTAATAGCCATATTTGAGAGATAAATTAAGTAAGTAGCATTGATGTTGACATAATTAAATGTCAGATATTTGTGTCTCATTTTATCCAGTTCTGCCCTCACACTTAAAAGGTTTTCAGTTGTAAGTGAGAAAATAGATAACGTCTTTCCTTTGGTGAAATCATCCACGTATCTATTTATTAACCACATACATAGCACCGAATATTCTATTCTATATCACCGAGTATTCTATTCCATATCACCGAAATATTATAAGATTATAATTTCATCTATAACTTTTAAATATTAAATATATCTCAACTCTACTTATCCCTAATCCCATGACAATCCCTAAATATTAAACCCTAAACCTAAATATAAACCCTAAATCCAAACATAAACTCTAAATCCAAATAGAATGGAACAAAATAAATAACATAGTACATATTTGTGAAATTATGAAATATTTATGATTGCATGTAAGAAGATAATGCTGACTCCAATCCCACCCCTTCAATTTCTATACTAAACCCTAATCTCTAAACCGTAACCCAAATATGAACTCTAAACTCAAATATTAAAATCTAAAAAATAAATTTTATTATATAATATTAAATTATATTATGTAAAATTAAACAATAAAATATATATAATAATATGATTTTTATAGATTAAAAACATGTAAAGATGGATAAAATCTAAGAAAATTACAAACTATACTACTAAACAAAATATAGCACTTTTTATTAACCGTCAAATGGAATGGAACATGAAACTCTAGTTATCCCTAATCCCCTTAATCTTTAAATATTAACCCCTAAACTCTAATCAGTAAACTCTAAACCTAAATATAAATTCTGAACCCAAATATAAATCATAAACCCAAATATAAACTCTAAATCCAAATAGAATGGAACAAAATAAATAATATAGTACATATTTCAGAAATTATGAATTTTTTTGTGATTGCATGTAAGAAGTTAATGTTGACCCCAACCATACCCCTTCATATTCTAAATATTGAACCTTGATTTCTAAGCCCTAACCCAAATATAAACCATAAACTCAAATATCAAAATCTAAAAAATAAATAGTATTATGTAATATTAAATTATATTATGTAATATTAAACTATACAATATATATCATAATACGATTTTTACAGATCAAAAACATGTAAAGATAGATAGAATTTAAGAAAATTACAAACTATATTACTAAATAAAATAGAGTATTTTATTAATCTTCAAATGGAATGGACATGATAAAATAGTATAGTAACAAAATAAAACGTAAAATAAAATATGAAAATACACATTGTTTACATTTCTATTCTATATGCATATAATAGAATATAATACAATAACATAAACTATTCATCTTCTCCCACATATAACATAGATTCTTGTAAATTTAGATACGTACTTGTTCCGGTGTATTTGCTATTGTCGCTTTTAGAATCTGAGAAGCTTCTCCGTTTCGTCACTGAAAAAGCGGTGACAAAGCCTTCACCGTTCTCCTCCTCCACAAAACTTTTCGTGAACGCAGTCCGCAACGTCACTCAAATCTGTATTGGAGGAATTTATTCACTTTTTCAAATACTTGCAATGAAAAACTTATTTTGTGATTGTGTGTGAGCAACAAAAAGGCACGTTATATATTTCACAATCAAAAATTATTAATTGATTTTTTTTCTTTGCAGGCTGTACCGGTGAAAAAGAAGACCAATATAGTATTATTATACAAATATAACAGTGTGTATAGAAAAGTTAGGGAAATTGGTTAGTTGGTGAATTATACTTTTTTTATGTTATACAGCCCAATTTCCCTAAAAACAACATAACATGAATCAAAAATGAAAAATCGAGATTTTTGACCAAATCTATTAGTAAATGGCATAGTACCAGATGTGCTCATAATAGCTAGCTATGCTATTGAAGGTACTCAGGATCATCTTCAAATTTTGAAAATTCGAATTAACATACAATACTTAGGCTGATAATACTGTATCTCCATAGGCTATATATATGATATGTGAAACTAGTAAGCCCAATCGTACATGGAAAGAATGGTAGACAGCCTCCAAAATATCTTATTTAAATAGTAGAAAAAGATTTTAATTTGGGTGATGGAATGATGAAAAATCTACAATTCAATGGGACATGGTGGAAGATTGTTCCCAATTGGCAAGATTATTATAGAATTAGAAGAACGGTTTGTTTTGTAACTTATCTTAAAGAAATACAAAATTTGAAGGAAAGTTTCAGAATCTTTCAATTCAAACACGTAATCCGGATTCAATCAGAAGAGTGGATAATCTCGCACACAGTGTTCGAAGTCAAACATCTTATTTTGTTCATATAGATACATAGTAAAAGTGAACATTTTAGTTTAAGAAAAGTTTAACCAAAATCAGTTGTTACTAATTTGATTTGGTTTGTGATCGGTTTGGTTTATCATTGGTTTTGTTTAACTTCGGTTTGATTTGTATTCGGTTTGGTTTGTTTGTGTTTGTTGAGTTCAGTTTAGTTGGTTTTTTAGTTTTGTTCTGGTTTGGTTATGAAAATATAATTTATAAAACATATAACACATCTTCATTTAAAATTAAATTATTATTTTCTTCATATTAAAATGTAAAGCAAAACATAACATAAAAATATAGAAGATATAATCTAATAATTCTATATCATTATTTTATAATTTATTATAAATATCTAGGTAACTTTCAATTTTGATGATAGTGTGTGAAACTCATATTTTTTTATTTTATTGTTAGTTGTGTTTCATATTTTCATTTAGAAGTAAAATGTATGTATGTGTGTTTATTTAAGTTAGGTGATTAAATATCTTAATTTTAATATTATTAACATATTTAGTTAATCTAATTAAATAAATACTTCAGTTTATCGGTTTGGTTCGGTTTAAAACTAAACCCAATCCAACAACTTTGGTTGATAAAACCTTTAGCTAAATGGATAAGAGATATACTTTAGTTTGATTTAGGTTGGTTTAAGTTTGGTTGGATCAGTTTGATTTGCTTTTTTCTTCACCCCTAATACAAAAATCTTTTTTTTTGGTTAACATAATCTTAATTGAGTGTGTGAAAAAAAGTTTGGGACAAGAAACGACCAAGAACTCGACCTATTATACAGACTCTTAAGTTCTCTCCAAAAGGAAAAGTATAGGAAATCCTAATTCTCCCTGCAAACCTTCGCAGCCGCCTCCCAACCTTCTTCTAAATCAACCAAACCAGTCTCTCCGGCGTCATGGCGCTCTTCGCCAGTGCCGGAGAGGCTCTACTCTCTCTCTAGTTTGTTTCATATATTACTTTTTGGATCTGGACGTTTTGTGCAGTGATTTTGTTGACAGTCCTTGTCTCGTAGTTGAACGATGTTGGCTTTGTATTCTTGCTTGCCTCTTCGTTCTCCTCTTATTGTCCAGTTCTGTGGATGGCTCTCCTTCTTTGCTCTTGTCCTTTTTGAAAAGGGATTTAAGGTGGATCTATGGTTTTCTATTTGTTTAGTCTGATTTGATGGTGTTAGTTAATTCAGGGCAGAGATGTTCTCTTAGCAACGGGTTTACTGATGAAAAGTTCATTTGCACCGGCTTAAAGATCTAATGAGTTATCATCTTGCAGCCTCTTTTTTTTCCTTGATTAATTGTTTGGTCTTCGATGGAGTGAGTTATTGGTGCTGAAATGGTTTCGTCTTTCTAATCATTAGGCAAGGAGGTGATCAAGTTTCGATTTAGGAATGGTTTGCTTCCATTGTCTATTAGGATTTTGGGGTGGTTATATTGTATATGAACCATCAATCCCAACTACCTATCTTATTTATACTTTGCTTTTCAATTTTGTTCAGTAGCTTAACAAAGCTAACTTGTGAAAAAATTGATCAAGGCAATCTAAGAAGATCTATTTTAGACGATGAGATATTTTCATGTTTCGATTGAAGGTATTAGAAGTCCGTCTGCTATTGTTGGAACGGAAATATTTAATATATCTTTCTGAAATAAGATTAGTTTGTATGGCTAATGTGTCATCAATGATGTTTGTCTTTGTTAGTTTCTACTTTCTAGTGTGGAAAGACCATTAGCTTCTCGTTATCATTCTATCTTATTCTCCGATGATGTAATATGTTCTAAACTAGGTGTTTTGTCCGCACATGCGGGCATAATTTCTGTACAATAAATTATTAGTCTATATTTTATTAATTCAAACCAATATAATAAGTTATGATTTATGTTTTAAAATTAATTATAAATGACAACACTCAGATAACAAAATATTTTTAAAAATATATTTTTACAAATGTGTTGGTTTAATTTATTTTAATTATATTTTTTTTCTATCTTAATTTTTTATTTCTATAATAAAAATATATTTTCAAGATAACAATATAATACATAAGAAGTATCGTATTTTCTCAAAATATAATTTTTAATAGAAATTCGTTTTTATTTTATAATACTTTTATATGAAATTATTAAAAATATGACAATTAATCAAAATTATCTAAATCATGGAGAAATTACAAATCAGATAATTCACTTAAATTTTCTAACAGAAAATATATGTTCAAGATAACAATCTAATACATAAGAATTATCTTATTTTTAAATCTAGTGTTATTAGTATACATTTGTTTTATTATTTAAAAAATTATATATGTAATTATTAAAATATGATAAATAAGCAAAATATAAAACCATGAAGAAGTTGATAAATCAACATTGCTTTCTTTATATTTAAATATTAATATTTTAAATTAATTTTTAATTTCTATGACTTTTTAAAAAAATTATTTTAAAGATAACAATATAATACATAAGAATTATCTTATTTTCTAAAAGTCTAATATTATTAATAGAAATTTTTTTTATTATATGATAAATTATTCATAAAATTATTAAAAAAATAAAAATTAAGCAAAATTATAAAAACCGTAGAGAAGTTACAAATCAATTAGTAAATTCACTTGAATTTTATAATAGAAAAATATATTTTTAAGATAACAATTTAATACAAAATAATTAACATATTTTCGAAAATATAATACTATTAATATAAATTTGTTTTTATTAAATAATAAATTTTATATGAAATTATTTAAATAAAGTAAATAAACAAATTTATCTAAAATTAAGGAGAAATTGACAACTAAGCAAATTTACTTCTAAGTTTAATAAAACAAGCGTTAAAAAAAAAAAAGAAACGACCAAGAACTATAATCCAGAAAGTAAAATTAAGAAGGTTAAACCGTAAGGTGTTTTAATGGCCCATGTATCCGGCCCATACTCATTTTAGCTTAAAACCCTTTCCCAATATTACCAAACCCATCGCCGTCGTCTCCTCCTCCGTTAACTCAGTAACCAAACAATCCCTCATCGCCGTTGTACGCTCCATTTCTAAGCCAATTTGATCTCTTTATGATCTCGATCTGTTTCTAGTCAAGTTTTAAGGATCGCTTTTCACCAACGCAAGAACCTTTTACACTCAGTGAGTCTCCGGTTTTTTCTCTTTCTAATGTTTGATGTTCTACAGTGCTCTACCTGTCGAATGGTTCTTGTTTTCTCCATATTCTTGCTGGTTCGGTTAAAAACTCTATGGATCATTACTAGATGTTGGATTTTCAAAATCTTTGTGTCCTTTTATCAACTAGTCAAGCAACTCTCTTCGTTTTTTTTTTGTCGTTGAATGAAGCTGAAGTGAAACAGTACGACGAAGCTTCTGTTACTTTAGTCTTAACTTTTGTCCGAGTTTATTTGGTTTGGTGAGAGTAGTTGCAGATTCTTGGAACAGATTTATTAGAGTTATTACATATGTTTACTGATGTCTCAAAGTTGTTTCATTTATCTGATTTGGTTTGCTTATGATTCGACCAGGTTTTGCAAAAATGGCGTTTGCTAGAGTAGCGAGAAGACCCATTGGAGCTTTCTTTTATAGTGCTAGTGGTAGGTTTAGCTGTGGAAATGAGGTGTCAAGCAAATTCGAAAGTCTGTCTCAGTACAGATACGCAAGCCCTGTTTGTGGTTTTGGGAATTTCTTGAGGAGTTTTAGTTCGGAGTCTCCTGCTGTAGTTGATCAGATGAGCCTCATCAAGCAACTGAGACAAAGAACTAGTGCTCCTATTAAGGATGTTAAGGCTTCTCTTGTTGAATGCAACTGGGATATTGGTAAGCATTGCTTCTTCTTCTTTTAATGCTGCGTCTTTCTTTTTTGTTTCTTTTGCTCTAAAATGGGTTTATTTTTTTAATTTTTTTTGACACAGAGGCTGCTCAGAAGGATTTGAGGAAGAGAGGCAAAGTGTTGGCTTCGAAGAAGTCTTCAAGGACAGCTGCAGAGGGTATGCTTGCGGTTGCCCAAAACGAGGGGAAAGTTGCTGTTATCGAACTGAACTGTGAGACAGACTTTGTGGCTAGAAACGACATTTTCCAGTACTTGGTTAGTGCCATTAGCAATTGCACATGAGAGCTCTACGTTTGTTTTTACTGCTGCTTCTCTTACAGTATCAACATGTCTGCAGGCTTTAGCTATGGCAAAGCGTGCTTTACTGGTTGAAAACACTTCTCAGCAAGTTTCTGGTGTCTTCCCCTTTGGCCCTGAGCTTTTTGAGGTCAGTTGTTCCATGTACTCACCTGTTTTTCTCTTTTGTATCCTTAACATCCTCGCCCCATGTTATTTCTTATGTTTTCATTTCTAATCACTATCACAATTGCCATTCAGGAGTTGAAGCTCAACCTTGATCATCCGAAAGTAAACGGCGAAACAACGGTTTCAAACGCTGCTACAGAAGTAGCCGCGATAATGGGAGAGAATGTCAAGTTTAGGAGAGGTTTCCTGCTCTCAAAATCTTCAGCAGGCGTCCTCTCAGCATATCTCCACACAAGTCCCCAACCAGGTACAAATAATTAAATAGTTCTTTTACATGATTCATCTCGGTGCATCATTTAACTTGGTTTTTTCTTTGGTATGTAATAGGGTTGGGTCGTATAGCTGGGATTGTATCTCTCGAAGTAGAAGGTGAAAATACTCAACTAGAAGCTGTTCAACGTGTAGGCTCAGAACTGGCCATGCATGTTGTAGCAGCAAAGCCTTTATTTTTAAGCAAAGATCTTGTTTCTTCAGAAGCAATTGAAAATGAACGAGAGATTCTCAAGTCTCAGGTCACCTCCACTTCATTGTTATGAAATTGAGCTGTAATGAAAACTTGTCTTATTAGTATGTGGTTTATGACAGGCGGAGAGTACAGCCAAGTCTCAGATGGCTGTAGAGAAGATGGTGGAAGGCCGTCTCCGGAAATATTATGAAGAAGTTGCTCTAATGGAGCAAAAGTTCATTGTGAACGATGCTATAAACGTAAAGGTATATGTTCATTACATCTGCATTGCTTGTTATTACTTGTTTAATGGAATAAAGACAATGATTTTTTCTCGATAATTCTATGATATTCCACAGACTCTGGTGGATAATCTGTCCAAGGAGGTGGGCTCTCCTGTGAAGGTTGCCGATTTTCTGAGAGTTGAAGTTGGGGAAGGAATCGAGAGGTAAATAAATACAACAATGGCTCATACATGTTCTGTATATATGATGATGGCTTTATTCATTAGATTAGGGGCTAATGAACATGTATTATATTTTGTTTATAAAAGGCTTGAAGCATCTGATGAACCGGTTGCTCAAACTGCTTGAAGATGATGAATGTGGTCTTTAGGTCCAGAGACCTCTTTCTATGGTTGAATACCTATCACTCACCATATGATTTCTATTACCGGCTTGAGATTACAGAATGTTAGGCTTTCTTTTCCCATATTTTGTTGTTAAAAAACGTGAGTTTGCCATATACAATATGCCAATAAGATCAATTTTGTGATTGTGCACATTGCTTCTTCACTCTTTGGCTACACAGCCTAGGGAAGCTGTACTTGGTGAGTTTTCTTACATAAGTTCATCAAACAAAAACCTTTACTTCTCCCTCCACTTATTGGCCTAGGCGTGGATGTTGGATACTGTATGTTGGTTTGGTTCTTTTGGTTTTCGTATATTTCACAATGTACGTATTGTTTTTGTTGAATATTTATTATTAGATAAAGAAATATTTAATGTTGTGTGTGTGTAATTGTTGAACGAGAGAGAAGAGAAAATGGACGTGTGAATCTTATTCTTCATGTCTCATACAACAAGTGAATACTCATATATATAGTAGTACATCAGAATTAATAAAATACTAGATCTCAACCCGCGCAACCGCGCGGGTATTTATTTTCATTTATTTTTATATAAACATTTTGTTTTTACTTCTAAATTGGTATATATTATATAAGGTGTGTAGATTAAAAATGATATATTATATAAGGTGTGTATATCGAAAAGGATGATTAATTATTATATAATATAGATAATTATTGTTAGAAAATGATATTTTTGTCATTTTTAAAAATAAACTATATAATTTTAAAGTTAACATCGAAATATATAATTAATTAACTTATACTATTACATTATTAAATTGTATAAGTTTAATTTAAACATGTATTTTATTATACTATCTAAAATTTAATGGATTATCTAATTTTTATTAGCCCAATAAAAATTTATTGTAAGCCCAATAAATGTTATTAGTGAATCTAATGAATGTTATTAATGATTAAATATATAATGTGACCAACTCTAGTAGATAGTCCATTTTATAAAAAATCACACATAAATAAGAAGTCATGACTTCTCTTTTAATATAATAGATGTGATGAGTTGGTAAAGAGGTCGGTAACTCTTTGCTTTACCGACTAGTAATTATATTTGAACGTTAAAGGATAAACATTATCCTTAATTGGATAATCATATTATCTAATACTCCCCCTTGATTATCCAATTTGTATTACGTAGGGCCTCGTTAAAACCTTAGTCATGGAAAAACTCGTTGGGTTAAAAACCATGAAAAAAGAAAAAGAGTACATTGATGTAATCTCTCCCTGAGCATAATGGACATAACTTTTTCCTCATAAGTCACGCAAATGCCGCATTCCGATACCGTAGACGTGTTTTCGGAACGTCGTAGTAGGAAGGGCCTTTGTAAACAAATCTGCGGGATTGTCGCATGACCGTACATATTCTATGTCCACTTCTTTATTTTTCTCGAGTTGTCGTATGTATGAGAAAAATCTTGGAGGCATGTGCTTTGTTCTGTCGCTTTTGATATAACCTTCTTTAAGTTGAGCAACACATGCCGAATTGTCTTCGAACATTTTCGTCGGCTCTTTCTTACCAATTATTCCACTTGCTTCTTGTATGTGGTAACTCATTGATCTAAGCCACACACATTCTCGACATGCTTCGTGAAGTGCAATGGTTTCTGCATAATTCGAAGATGTTGCAACCAGAGTTTGCTTCTGTGAACGCCAAGAGATCGCTGTCCCACCAATTGTGAAAACATAGCCGGTTTGCGAACGAGCTTTATGAGGATCTGATAAGTATCCTGCATCTGCAAAACCAACCATACCAAACTCGGGTTTTCTAAAATACATTAACCCTAAATCAACTGTACCGTGGAGGTAACGAAATATATGCTTTATTCCGTTCCAATGCCTGCGAGTTGGAGCGCAACTATATCTTGCAAGAAGATTAGTGGCAAAGGCAATATCAGGTCTAGTACAGTTCGCTAGATACAATAACCCACCGATAGCACTCATGTAAGGTACTTCTGGACCTAACATCTTTTCGCTATCTTCACAGGGTCTAAAAGGATCTCTCTCAACATCGAGAGTCCTACCAACCATTGGAGTACTCAAAGGAGTTGCTTTGTCCATACGAAAGCGTTTCAATAACCTTTTCGTATAATTTGATTGATGCACAAATACACCTTCTCGGAGATGCTCAATCTGGAGCCCAAGACAAAACTTTGTCTTTCCGAGATCTTTCATTTCGAACTCTTCTTTCATATGAGTTCGTGCATCATCAACCTCCTTTTTAGTTCCAATAATGTTCAGGTCATCAACATATACAGCAATGATCACAAAGCCAGATGACGATTTCTTTATAAAAACGCATGGACATATCACATTATTCACATATCCTCTTCTCAAGAGTTATTCACTTAAGTGATTGTACCACATGCGTCCGGACTGCTTTAATCCGTAAAGTGATCGCTGTAACTTGACCGAACAAATCTCCCTGGGTTTCTCTTTCAATGCTTCTGGCATTTTCAATCCTTCAGGGAGTCTCATGTATATATCATTATCCAATGATCCATACAAGTATGCAGTCACAACGTCCATAAGATGCATTTCAAGATTCTTTGACGCCGTAAGACTCATCAAAAATCTAAACGTAATTTCATCCATTACCGGGGAATACGTTTCCTCAAAATCAATTCCCGATCTCTGAGAAAAACCTTGGGCTACTAATCAGGCTTTATATCGTGTTACTTCATTCTTTTCATTTACTTTTCTCACGAATACCCATTTATACCTAACAAGATTTATATTCTCAGGCGTTATGACTATTGGTCCAAAGACATTCCTTTTATTTAGGGAGAGTAATTCAATTTCAATGGCCTTCTTCCACTCGTCCCAATCATGTCTTTTCATACATTCTAAAATGGATCTTGGATCAGGATCATCACTTTCGTGATCTATTTCTTTGGACACAGAAAAGGAGAATATTCCATCAACATCTTTTATCTTATTTCTGATCCATAACTTTTCATCTTGGGCGTAGTTGATGGAAATCTCATACCTTTTTGTTCCCTCCTTGTCATCTGGATCCTTATCTTTATTTGGTTCTTCTTGAACCTTTTCATTTATACCTTCTTTCAGACATTTTTCAGTATCAAGTTCTTCTAGAACCTTCTCTTTTTGCTCAATCAATTTCTTTTTCTTTCGGGGATTTTTATCTTTAGAACCCACAGGTCTCCCCCTCTCTAACTGAGCCCTAGGCTCATTCATTGTATCTCCATCAGTGTGTTATTTAGGAACAACAACTCTTGATGGGACATTTTCAGCGGGTATATGTGATTTTGTCACCCTTCTCATATTTGTGAACGCATCTGGTAACTGGTTTGCCAAATTATGCAAATGCACAATTTTCTGAACTTCCAGCTCTCTTTGATTTGTAGGGGGATCAAGGTGTAACAATGATGGTGTACACCAAGTAATCATTTTAGGAATTTCTCTAATTCCTTCCCCTAATGGTGGAAATTCTTCTTCATTAAAATGATAATCGGCAAATCGTGCCGTAAACATATCACCAGTTACTGGTTCCAGATATCTTATTATACTTGGTGACACATAACCCACATATACTCCCAATCTCCTCTGTGGGCCCATTTTTGTCCTTTGTGGCGGAGCTATCGGTACATAGACCGCAAACACGGAGATGGGATACATCTGGCTCATGCCCAGACGCCAATTGTAATGGGGAGTACTTATGATATGCACTCGGTCTTAACCGAATTAGTGCATCCGCATGCAAAATAGCATGACCCCATACTGAAATTGGGAGCTTTGTCCTCAAGATCAACGACCTTGCAATCAACTGCAACCGTTTAATTAATGACTCGGCCATGTCATTCTGTGTATGAACATGAGGCACTGGATGTTCCACATCAATCCCCACTGACATACAATAATCATTAAAGGCTTGCGATGTAAAATAACCAGCATTATCAAGCCTTACTTTCTTAATGGCATATCCTGAGAACTGTGTTCTCAGCCTTATTATTTGGGTAATGAACTTTGTGAAAGCCGTATTTCGTGTCGTCAAAAGAGACACATTTGACCATCTACTAGATGCGTCAATCAATACCATGAAATACTTAAACGGTCCGCACGGTGGGTGGATCGGCCCACATATATCACCATGTATTATTTCTAAAAACATTGGTGATTCATTGCCTACTTTTGCTGGTGAGGGCCGAGTAATAAATTTCCTTGAGAACATGCTTTACATGTAAATTCGCCCGTCTGCAAAATTCTTCCGTTTTTCAACGGATGGCCATTTGAATTTTGCACTATTTTTCTCATCATGACTGAACCAGGATGTCCTAGCCTCTCATGCTAGATTTTAAATGTATCAGTAAACTTCATGTTTACCACAACATAGGACTCAGTCATGTGTATTCTTGTACAATATAGTCCAGAGGATAACATTTTTAACTCTTCTAATATATGTTTCCCCTCGGACTTAATGCAAAGAAATTCAATGCCATCTTTACACATAGTCTCAATATGGTATCCATTTCTTCGGATATCCTTGAAACTTAACAAGTTTCTATTAGACTCGGGGGAGTATAATGCATTACTAATTTCAAATATCGTCCCCTTTGGCATTGAAAATTTCACTCTTCCAGAGCCCATTATAATCTTTGCATTACCAGATATTGTACTTACGCTTCCAGCGTAATCTTTTATTTTGAGACTGGAGAAATAGTTCTTATCTTTGATTATCGTGTGCGTCGTAGCACTATCTGCCAAACACATATCTCCATCCATAGTCTCAAAGTTTGGCATTCTTTCTGAAAACATGTATTATTAAACTTATATCACATAACATAAAACATGCATTATTAAACAAGAAACATAACATATATCTTACAACAAAAGATATAGATACTATAATACAGTAAACTTATATCACATCGATTTTATATTACTCATCGATACTCTCTGGTTCAACCAGAAAGTCTGATACGTCGAGATGAGTATCATCATTTAAACCATGAAAGGATGGCCCGGGTTCATCAGAGATGAAGTTTGTTTCACCTCCTTTTTCTTTTCTCTTTTGAGATTCTTTATACAGATCGGTTAAATGTTTTGGCGTACGGAAAACATGTGCCCAATGCCCTTTCATACCGCATCTGTAGCAAACTGTTTGCTTTTTGTCATCCAGGCCTCTTTCACCTTTTTCATTTTCGTGGAAATTTTTATTATTTCTTTTATCATATGGACGGAATCTTCTTCCTCGTCCTCTTCCACGACCATGATAACGGTTTCGACCGCGTCCACGACCTCGTCCTCTCGAATTATCATAACTGGATGATGCAACATTCGCTTCAGGGAATAGAGCAGATCCAGTGGGACGAGCCTGATGGTTTAAAGTCACGAGTTGATTATTCTCCTCCGCTACAAGGAGGAC